GAGCCCTGGCTCCTCCTGAAGGGTTCCTGCCTCCACAGCTGCCTTCCGACCTCTTCTAGGGCCTGCACTGGGTGAAGCCCCCAAGGGCTGATGACAGACAGGAGGGACCTGGAAGGGCTGCGCTCCAGCCCACATGGCTTCAAAGGCAGATGCTTTAAGAAAACACTTAAAGGGAGCTGAAGATGGGAGCTCGGGAAGACCTGCAAGGAGCCCACAGCTGGCGTTCCCCTGCACCCCGCATCTCCAGGAAAGGGCTCCCCATGTTCAGCCTCAAGGAGGACATTTGTGTTGAAAGAAAAATCAAAAAGAATAAACAAGAGCATTTGGGCACCGCTTTGAACTTTAAAAGAAGGGTGTGAGTCAGCGGAGGCTGTTTCCTCAAGGAGCCGACTGGCTCAGGTAGGAAGCCCTCTAAAAGGAGCAGGTATGGGCCAGGAAGGAGCACGTGGAGAGGTCCCCATGAGAACACCCGGGGATGCAGTCAGAATGCGCTCAGGGGGTGCCCTCCCCCTCCCTTGCTCTGCAACTTGACAAGCTCAGCACTTGCCACAGTGAGATTGTCCAGACAAAGCCCCCGGATCCTGACAAAGTTAAAACGCCCTGTAGGTCCAGGCCATATCAGTCTCCTACAGGCAGGAGCATGGACTCTGACCTTTGGCTTCTCTCTCTGCACCTCCCCAGCCCTGATCTGGCTGCCAGGGTGTCCCAGGTGGGCTATCAGGGAGATGAGCAGAAAGGACAGGCCAGGGAGGGCACTGCATGTCGCTCAGGCTCCCTTTCCTGGCTGAGCTTCCTTCCTTTACCTGGGAGCCCTGCCAGGTTTCAGGCTCCCGTTTCTCTGCAGGCTGCTCAACTGACTAATGAGACCTGCTCGGACCAGTGAATTCACCCAGGGATCTGACTTGGGACAAGGAGGAAACAAAGGCCTGTGTGTAGGGAGGTCCCAAGCCGCTGTGAGTGCAGAGGGCTGGATGTTTGCACCCCTGGGTGCCTGTGTTGGAGGCCCTACCCCAGGGGCAG